CAAACACCCCCCCACACACACACACACAGCCAGCCCTTACCCCACCTGCAGGGACGGCCCTTACCCCACCTGCAGGGACCCTCTGAGTCCGGGCAAGAACCATGAGCATTAGCCTGGCTGCTCATGCATTCAAGGGAGATGAGGGCATTTCTCCTGATGATTCAAGTTAGAACTGGGTGACTTTTCCTCAGAACCATCCCTGTGCCGGTTTGTTTCATGGTACCATGAGCTCTGTTTGAGTCAAATACGCTTCACTGGCCTTGAAACCTAACCATGCAGTTAATGTTGTTTCCATGAGAAAAGGCTGCCAGGGTCTAAACAAATGCCCTACACCGAGCTGTGGCGCAGAACCCATTTGTAAAGCTGGGCCAGCCAATGCTCCGCTGGTGTGATGGCTCCTGTCCAGGGGCTCATTCTGTCCTCGGCCTTCTCTGAAAGTCCTTGGCTGTGCCCTGCCCCCTCAGCGCTTCCCATTTCAGCACAGAAGAGGAAGTTCTCCAAGGGAAGTGTTCAGCCCTCAGGCATTAAGCCAGGTGAAGGGGCACGTTGGAGACTCCCCACAGCTCCAAAGGCCTGCTGCCTCCCCTAAAAACAGCACACGGGCAGAGATACTGAGGGAAGAAACCAGGGAACTGAAGGGCCACCTGGACTTCCGTCCCATAAAATTTTAGAGCCCTAAGGGCCATGTAGTGCAGCTCCTGCTCAGGTACTAGGCTAGTGACTTCCAGAAGTGAAGGGGAACCAGAAGGAGCTGTAACCAGTGAGAGGAAAATCCATGCCAGATCTCAGGAGCAGGGATGGCTCTGCACCCTTTGAAGACTTAGCTACTTGGAGTGAGTTACAGGTAGCCATGCCAGCCCTGGCTTCTCAGTGGCCTAACCAAGCCCTTGAGATGTTGCAAGTCCAGGGTTCAGGAGTTGGCCTGCTCTGGCCTGAAGTTCAGCTCTGCCACTCCCTATGCATCGATTTCTCTGCATCAGTCTCCTCATCTGTACAATGGGTTCTTCATTGTACCTGCCTCACAGGGTTATTGGGAGTTAATACTTGTGAAGGGCTTAGTCAGTGCCCAACACTGAGCAAGCTCTCAGTCATTTATTAACTGTTTCTACATTTTTACCATAGAAATCATTCAGAACACGTACTTTTCTTTGCCATCATATCTATGATATGAGATGACCAAAGCAAGGATTGTCACAAAAATAATTCCCCTTTTTTTTTTTTTTAAAGAATGTCTTATACTTTTTGGAGTGATTGTATACGCATTTGTCTCCTTGGAGTCTCCTAGGATGTGAGGCAGGGAAGGAAGCATCTTTATGATCTCAGCTTCCCAGGGGGAAACACTGAGGATCAGAGAGGCTAGGCGAGCCACCCTGGTCACCTAGCTAGAGTTGGTAGATCCAGGACAGGTCTTCTGATTTCTTATTTCCCTATACCACACTGTTCCTCCTGGCAACAGAATATGAAGGTCCTTGCAAACTTACTTCTCATTACTACCAAGTCCAAGAAACCCCAAGCCTCAGTTGTCCAAATATTTTTCAGCCCTTGGCTTTTGGGTGAAAGTGATTTGGTTCAAGCTTGTCCCACACAAAATCAAAGTGACATTAATAGAACGATGGGCTTCCAGGACAGGAGTAAGAGGGTTGGAAATTCCTGATGTCACGGAACTGTTTCTCTCCTACTAAAGCAGTAGAGCACCCCACATTCCAATTCTTCAGGACATTCAAGAGTGCTGAAAACCTTGGGCAAAAACTGACAGATGCCACAAGGATGTCGTTTGTTTTAGGAAAAAAGCAAAATGCACATCTTTACCAGTAGGTGGCAATAGAATAAAAAGGTTAAAGAAGCAAGATGTTTAAAAATATAAACCATAAATATTTTAAACCCAATTTGCTGATGTTGTTCACAAAGAAGTTGAGCTCTGCGAGGGGTGGGTACATGACTTGGCTCAGTGATTAGTGGTTGATCCTGACTAAACTCAGATCTCATCATTAAACCAGAATGTGCAAGAGCACCGATTACCTTCTTCCCCATATAGCCTACATCTTAATCATGTGAAGAAGAATATTACTTCTTTTCAGTGTATTAATAATTACAGCAGGCAGCAAAGCTGATAACCTTTAAGAAATGAAAGTTGATTGTGCCCTCAGTCTTCTGAGCTCAAAGAGAATAAAGACAGCTGCATATGACCCCTTTGGTGTCCTTATGAAGCTTCCTAACATGTTCGTGCTGGCTCTGAGTCCACCCAGCCATGACTTCCCGAAAGGGATCAGGGACTCTTCGGTAGGAGTCTCCCCCTCTTTCCCGCCCCTTCTACTCTATCAGCACCCGTTCCTTATAAAAGGGCTTTGAACATGTTACTGCATATAGAATGTCAGGTGCCATTTTGCCTTATTCTGCTTGAGGCAACAGTGATAAGCGGAGCCTTGGAGAAATGAGTGAACTGCCTGTTGCCTGAAGGGAACATATTTCTTCTGTGTAGTTCCAAAGAAGAGAAATCAAACAGACGGGTGAGACAAATGTACCGATAATGATATTAGGTGTACTGCTGTTATTAAATGCCATTGAATCAGTCCTTAACTCGTGGCAACCCCATGCACAGTGGAACAAAATGCTGTCAGGTCCTGCACCATTCCCATGATCAGTTGCAGATCAGACCATTGTAATCAAAGAGTTTTCATTGGCTGATTTTCTAGAGGGTGCTTAATAAATGGAATGAGTGGATGAATAGATGGATGGATGGACAGAAGGAAAGATGAATGGATAAAGGTTTAAGGCAAATGATTTGTTTGATACAGTGAAAAATTTTCTCAGTCTCAATAGCAGAAAAAATACACTACTTTGGTTGGATGTGTAATGAGTTCCCTTTCTCTGGAAATGTTCAAACACCAGCCAGCACTTACTTAGTACGGACACTGTAAGTAGGAGCAGGCTGAGGGGTTGGTTTGGACTAGATGAGCTTTTAGGGCCCTTTGGATCCTAAGATTCCTATTATTCCATGATTCTTGATGCATAGTGAAAGAAAGGGACAAAGATGATTTTGTCTCTGGCTTTAAGAGCTTCAGGTAGAAAAGTTCAACAGATTTCAGGTTGCTTCATATATAAATCTGGTCCCACGTGCCTTTACTGGATTTTCTGCCACAGTTGGGAAACCTTATCACCCTCGCACTTCCCTTGAGAACTTCCACTAGTTTCATTTAAGTAACAAGTGTTTCTTTTTAATTTTGAAAATCAGGAGAAGCACAATTTGTAGAAACTTGGATCGGTCCTTTTAGATGCAGGTAATTATACAGCCAACCTCGCAGCCGTGACTAGATTAAGATTCACAGGTCTACAGAACTAAAAAAAACCCATTGCCATCGAGTGGATTCCGACTCACAGCGACCCCATAGGGCACAGTAGAGCTGCCCCATAGAATTTCCAAGAAGCACCTGGTGGATTTGAACTGCCGACCTTTTGGTTAGCAGCTGAACACTTAACCACTACACCACCAGGGTTACAGTATTTGGAGAGTCTAATATCAGGTTGGTGGAGAGAGAAGCCAGGGTCAGCTAGAGCAGTCTTTCCACTGGCTTCAGCCTTTCCACGGGCTTCCGATGAGCAAGCTAAGCACATAGACTTCTCCCAAGGCGGCATGGGGCTAGGGGCAACATTGGATAACAAAAGGGAGAGACGAAAAAGGAAGACTAAAAGCAGGAGGAAGTTAGTTCCCCAACCTAAAAATGGGTATAGACCCTCACTCCATCCTGACAGCACTCTTTCCTTCTTTGCAAAGTGGTGTTCAGTTTTTCCCTTCACATGAATGGGTGCCGTTTGCTGTTCACTGCATTAAATTTTGACATTTCAGGCTCTTGGTTTGAGGGAAGAGTTTACTGGTAGGTGAGGGAAGAAGCTGGATGAGAGCACACAGGCCTCCGGACTTCGCATTTCTCACCCGCCCTCCAACCTGGAACCTTTGGGAGTTTCCCTGAGCGGCCCCTGGCTGAGAAATGCTGTTAGACGCCCAAATTGAATTTTTTAAATGATGGGAGGAAATGGGATGAGCAAGCTGACCTTTAGTGGGAAGATGAAATCATGTGCTTTGCAAATTGGAAAAAATAACAAGCCAGGAGAAAGCCCACTGCAGCCAAAAGCAGGCAGACGCCCCAGCACCTTCCTCCACTGCCCGAGACTCCTGCGGCTTCTGGGCATCCGAATGGGGAGACTCACTTCCAGTGCTTCAAGGGTCTCTCGGCCTGCAAAGTGCATTGGCTTACCAAGCATGAAGATTTTATTTATTGTCTTTATTTCCTTAAATGGTATATTTGTGATCTTGGCTGCCATGTAAATGGCTCTAAAGAAACCCCCTGAAGCTGAGATTCAACTCGCACAAACAGCATCTCCCAAGTATGAAACCTTCACACGTCTTTACCTCTTGTTTGACTAGGGGGAGAGGGATGTAAAAGAGAGAGGATGGCATTTGCATTTTAGATTCTCGTGTTTGATTTACTCATATCTGATTCTCTTCCCCTCCATTCTACATCCAACCCCCATTAGATTGTTCTCCTTATGTCTCACCTTTGTTCATTGACTCAGTCACCAGATAGGTGACTGAGAACCTACATGTGCTGGGCACAGTGAAGATTTACCGTATGAGGGAGACACGATTCCCTGACCTCGAATTTTCAGAAATTTACGGAGGGATCATTTACACTGGTATAATGCTTTCAGATAAGTTAACTAAGGCGCAACTAGGATAAGTTAACAGGGCAGTCAGGGCAGAACGGAGGTCTTCTCCAACTCCCCCTGTAGCACCCAGCAGAATACTGTGTCTTTAGTCAGCTGTCGGTAAATATTAATGTATGCTTATATTTCTTAGGATGTGAGTGGTATGGAGAACAGCACAGTTAGCTGTAAGCCAAACCCTGAGCTAGATGTGAATACCCATTATGTCCTCTTCCCCGGGGTGAGTCCAGACACTTCCTATGCTTGTAAGTCACCAAAAGTTTTACTGCTCTTTCCAGGATTTGTTCCAAAAGAAGAATTAAGCACACAGCCTTTGGAGCCAGTATCCCAGGGAGATCCAAGTAAGTTAATTGACAACTGGAAACCCAGGGTGGCTTTGACATCTGATCTTCTTTCTCCTCCTCTCTACCCACTCACTCCCACCCAAACCTGCCTCTCTCCTGCATGGATCTATTTATCCTTTCTCTGTCACTTTGTTCTAAGGGCAAGGAGAAGCTTTTGAAGGATTTAAATTGTCTGTGTGTATGAGAGGGAGAGCATCAGATTTTTAAAAAACATCTCTATGGCAACAGGGTGAAGCAAGGCATGAGAAGACGAGAGGATGACAGGAGGAAACGTGGGGGTAGGCGCAGTGAGCCAGTGGAAGATGATGGTCATCAGAGCTAGTATTTGAAATTGGAAATGGAGAGAAATATGCAGATTCAAGAGATGTAGAGAAGGAAGAGTCCAGAGGGCTGGTGATGGGAATGCAAGAGAGGGAACAGTTAAAGATGATTTGAGCAACTGGGTAAATGATACTGTGATGAGGAATGCTGGGGATAGAGCAGGTTGGGGGCAGGGAGATCGTCTGTGTCTATTATCTTCCATGAGACCCCTGGTCTAATTGCTAGTTGCTGTTGTGGGTTGATGTGTGTCCCCACAAGAAGACATATTCTGTCCTAAGCCCCAGTTCCTGTGAATGTGACTTTATTTGGAAATAGCATCTTTGCAGATGCAGTTAGTTAACATGAGGTCATACTGGAGTAGCTGAGCCCTATAAGGGCTTACGGTGCCCTGATAAGAAGAGGAGAAGAAACAACTAGAGAGACACAGAGGGAAGATGCCCATGTGAAGATGAGGCAGAGACTGGAGTTAGGCTGCCACAAGCCAAGAAATGTCTGGAAGAGGCAAGAAAAGACCCTCCCTAGAGCCTTCAGAATGAGCATAGCCGTATTGACACCTTAATTTTAGACTTCTAGCCTCCAGGCCTGCAAGAGGATAAATTTCTGTTGTTTTAAGCCACCCAGTTCACCTAATTTGTTACAGCAGTCCTAGGAAACCAATTCAGTTGCCCGCCCAGTTCTGACACTCAGCAAGGACAGCCCCGCTGGAGATTTGGAGCTGGGAGGCAGTGAGATACAGTTGCAAACCAAGGCTGTGGAAAGGGAAGATGTGGCCTAGAGAGATGGAGTAGAGTAAGAAGAAAAAGAGGACTTAAACCTGAAGAACTTCCACACTGAGTAGGTGGAAGAGAAGCTACGTGAGGACACCAGAAGGAGGGTCCAGAGAAAAATAGGAAAACCAGAAGGGTGTAGTGTGCTGCAAGCTGAGGGAAAGTCCTTGCAGGCTCCCCAGAAAGTCACTACAAGTCAGCCACCAGTGGGCTGTGAGTCTCAACCCTGCTGTGTGTGAGAATCACCTGAGACATTTTTAAAAATTAAAAACGCCAAATTCCTGCCTCCTACCTACTGAATTGGACTCTCTTAGATCTTGCCATCCAGAGTGTGATGTGGAGACAAGTAACATTGGCATCACCTGGGAGCTTGTTAGAAATGCAGAATTTCAGGCTCCACCCAGACCTGCTGAATCAAAGGCTCGCTAAGAAGGGCTGTAGGTAGAGGCACTGCCCAGGGTGATTCCCAGGCATCTTTCTTTGTTGAAGCTGCTTAAGTAACTCCGCTGTGTAAGCGACTCTGATATGTATGCCGGTTTAGGAAACACTGGCCTAATGCATTGGGCAGCACTGCAGTAATCTACAGGATTGTACCATGTTACAGAAAACCAAAGCAATTAAGAAAATTGGTAGATTGATTCCTGTTAACACTTTCTCTTACCTTTTCTTCCTCATCCTCCAACCTCTACCCTCTGTGATCTTAAACAGCTCACGCTGAACATTTCATAACCCAATTCTACCTTTCTGTGTTGAGGCTGTTGTCTTCAGATCAGCATGTTTTCATCTCAATGTGAAAAAGCCACCAGTTCCCAGTCAGCACATGCTCTGGGCCAGAACCATTTTCATTAATATGTAGTGGGAAAGGGGGAGGCAAAGGTGACCCCAACATCAGCCATCAGATTAGGGAGGGAAGAGAACCAAACAGAGGAACGCTTCACCTTCTTAAACCCTAGCCCCGAACTGAACACCTCCATCCTGAACACAGTTCAAGAAACAAGGAGAAAGAAACTGTCTGTGAAGAGCTAAAATAGAAGCTACAAAATCCACGTACTTTATTCATTTAAAAAAAAAAATCCCTTTTGGCCTTTAATTAACATTGTTATTTAACAAAAAGTTGTTTTCGTTTTTTAAAGACATAATGAACTAATCTGCTGACATCTGGAGGGAAAACCCCTCTGCAGCAGTGCTTCTCAAACTTTAATGTGCACACGATCACCAGGGATCTTGTTAAAATGCAGATCTGATTCTATAGGTCTGGGTGGAGCCTGAGAGTCCACATTTCTAGCAAACCCGTCCTGGTGGGCAGCTAGCCCGAAAGAACACCACTGCCACCTGGTGGCCCCAATTCACACTGCAAGTCTAGACCTAGGAAAAAGTGTGTGGGCCCCCACTGGGAGCCAATTCAGCTGTACTTGGGAGACACCAACATGACGAACCACAGAGCAGCTCTGCTACTCTTTGGCTTTATCCTAGGTTTTAGTGGCATCTTTAAACTCCACTTCTGGATTTAGTTTGCTTCTTTCAATCTCCATCTCGAGGGTCACGCTGAGTATAAGGAATTTAGGGACGGTGGAAGCTAGCTGAGCAGGAAGAATTGGCAGGCACTGAATGCGCAGGCAGACAGGAGATAGAAGCTTGCAAAATGTGCCACTGAGCAGAGACACAAACAAGTGTCCTAAGTGCAGATGGAGAAGAGTCGGCCATGTCCAGAGGCATCTCTGTCATCTCCTACATCTCTGGTTTTGATTGCCGTGCATCTTTGAAAGAAAATAAAGCACATTCTCAGACATAACTTTTCTCTTTAATCCACCAGTTCGGCAATATCCCTCATCAATAAAAACTTCTCATCAAATCTCCTGCCTAAAACTTTGTGAACACATGTCCATCTCTTGCTTACATTTAAAAAAAAAAAAACAAAAACAAAACCTCCCTCCCTACGGAGGTTCTCCTCCTGGGACTGGGAAGAATCCAGTCACCGGAAAGCGATGCAACATGGCGAAGAGAAGGCCGTGAGCGGCCTCCCTGGGCAGTCACCCAGACTCCTCAGCAGCTGCACCCCACCCACGAGGACAGTGCTGGCCCACGTGTCTCCTTGGTTACTCTGGCCCAGAAATTCCTAACTTCACTCTGTCTTTTTTTTCCTCCAAAGAATTCCAATTTGAAATATTTTTCTCCCAAATTGAAGTTGTTAAATAATTCATTTCTCGTGTTTTATTAATCAAAGAGATAGACAGCTTTTTTTGATCAGTATTGAATAATCAGTTTTATCATACTGAGATTATATAAGTTCAAAAGTCAAAAGCAAAGCAAAGACTAATTCCTATTTTCTCTTTCTACCATTTCCTGTTAGCCTTTGAAATATTGAAAATAACTTGCAAGCCCCTCCCTCTCACTTCCACCATAACCCTTACGTATTCACAGAGATCCAGCGATCCTAAACTGGGAACAATTACCCTAGTCTCTGTCACAACCAAAAGAAAGACAAAAAACAAAAACAATAGCTACAACAATAAGCTACCAAAAAAAAAAAAAAAAA